CTATTTGATACTCTTCAAATACTTTCCCAGATATATTCGGCTCTCATAGCTTGATATCTGTGAAGTAAAGTTCTCTTGAGGTTGGAGAGAAGCGTCAGATGTCGACATGTCATCTCCCCAATTGCGGCTGGCGACTCCGATGTCGAGCTTACGACGACGCCCTGATGGCGTGAACTTCGTGGGGCCGCCCTATAATAATCGCCGCACGATCGGTCCGTGCTTCCCTCGTCTCCCAAGGAGTGACACGACACAACGAGCAGACAACGAATAGGTTTACTTTACTTACCGGTTGCCCGTCCCCGAGAGACGGCAGTCCGGTCCCGCCGACCCTGGTCGTCACCCGTAGTTCTGAGCTTGCAGTCGGAGTCCATGTCCAGGCCTGCGCGTCATCCTTCCCACGCCAGCGCCGCGTAGGCTAGCTGTTCTGGAGTATCATAGCCTGAGTCTCGCTGAAGAATCACTTCGGGATTGTTATATTCTAGGCCGGTATGGCCAGGGCTCGCCGTTCCTGCCGGTCCTGGTCCGAACCTCTCTGCTGCACCACTTGGGGATCGCCATGGGCCAGGTCAGCTCCATCGTTCCTGCCCGGCCCCAGCCTCGCGCAGCACGCTCTGTTTACTGTATATCAATTTATTATCAGTAAAATTCATCAGCTGTGTAAAAAAGAAAATGCCTTTTTTCTGATATTTATTCAGCTTATTGGGTATATTTCTCCCAAATTAATAATTCCGGGCGAGTTTTTTTCTGTGGTATGCTCTCTAGGCAGTAAAAGCTTAACCGAAAACTTTAAGAACAGGAAAAAGTTCGAAAGCTTAATAATGTCTGCCTAAAACCTAAAAAGCAAAACTGCAAATTCCGAGAATCCGAAAGTGCATGTGCAACCACGCGGTGCCTGAAATCCTCTTTGAAGCTTTTGTTACCTTTTGAAAACAGGATAGCAAGGTCAGTAGGATATCTAGGTTTCTTTCTTCAACGGACATGCACGTTTTCTAGCCGTTCGTGCTGGTGTTTCAACATGTTGCCTTTGTGTGATAGTGCCCTTCTACGACGAGCCACCCATGACCAGTGGCGTAGCCAGGATTTTATTTCGGGAGGGGTTGAAAGGCAATATCCCCCCCCTCCCCCTCCCAATGACGAAGCAGGGTGAACTCGGCCTAACGGAAGCTCACGCAAAGATTAGGGACGCGCTGTTAAGATAAAACGGGTGAAATTGCATTGTTATTTTTTAAAACGTTGCACCCTTTATTTGGGCCTCCTGTTCTACTGTCGTCGTAGTTGCGGCCCACCAACTGTAAAAGCTTCCTCACAGCACACAACTCCCTCCGCTTTTTGAGGTAGCACTGCGTTACTAACGCATGCCGGCCAGACATAACAAAAAGATAGCTATACTGTCACAAAACATTAAACAGCAAAAAAACAAAAAAAAAATATTGACGCTGAAAAATTAGAGCAAACGTCCACCCACAAACACTAGGCCATATTCCAAGCCGCCATTAATATGGCCGAGACAGCAGAAGTTCAAATTCAGATACCGCGAGTAACAAGTCAGCAACGTCACCGCTGTAACATTCCCGCTAGAAGCACGGAAGAGCATTTTAAGCGCTCCCTGTTCCTTCCTTTCATGGATTACCTGATGACACGTGCACCGGCGTACGTTGCAATTACTTTCGTCGCTTCTGCCTGCGAAGATCTTGGAAAGCGGGGCAGCTCCCGGCGCTGAAGAGTTTTTGGAGCTCTATTCAGGCCTGGTTTCAGTTCCTGCTGACTCCAATGGGAGCTGCTCATATGGGCTTCCAAATGCAAGACGGAGAAACATGAAACGCCCGTCACGTCCGCGCTACAGGTGGTCACCCTCTGTCCGGAGGCCTTATTGGCGAAGATATGTTTCTGGTTGCGCCCAGAGCCTCTGGTTGTGCCACCTCGCGGGCGCCCTCCTGCGACGCAGCTGGTAGGATGCGAGCAGACGACGCGCTATGTCAAAGCACAGAGTGGCTATGTTAGTTCGCAACCATGCTGATTAATACCGTTTATTTATTAAAGAAACGCGTATAACGTTTTTGTGAGTAACCTTTCTAATAAATAACAACGCCTTGAAGTTTTTTTTTTTTTTTTTTTTTTATTAGAAAAGCTTTAAAATGTTCAAAAACAATAATCGAGTATTACATTACAGTTTGCGCGGCGTGCGTCACGACTATTCAAAACCTCTCTGACTCTTGTTTTTTTTGTTTTTTTTTTTTCGGATCTGTGGAGGTTCTTGTAGAAAGAGATTTTGCATTCACCAGAGTAATTGACGTAATGTCTTCTTAGCTGCGCACGTGCGCACAGTTGCGTTGGAAAGCGCCGCACACTTGATTTAGCTGCATTGAGCTTGCCGATAGGGACGCTTCTATCCAGCTGTGTGACTCGACAGCTCCTGCCCAGCAAATAAATGCTCGTCAGCCCAACTGGCGCTTAGCTCCTCCCGAATCGAAAACGCGGCAAAGAAGTTTGTCACATCGCGACTTCTGCTCGATAGGAAAAGACGAAATTTTCATAAATTGTTAAATCGTTGGCCATGACCCGGAAAATTCGGGCGATTTATTAATTTGTTTTATCCTATTTTTACCAAGAATTGTTTCCAAATTTAAAATCGCTCGCTGAGGAGCGCATCACGCATTATGCGCATTTGAGGTCGCAAAAATGAAACATACAAAAGGAAGTAGTTTATAGCAGGTATAATTCTCATTTTCTAGGATGCTGCAGAGTGTCACCGACTTACTAGATTACTTCACTCGCGAGGGGGTCTCGCACGTTTCGCGTCGGCCGGTGGAATAAACAGGGATTTAGTCGAAACGACTCCGGAAGCCAGCCTCCACTTCATCCTGCCAGTTATTTCGAGGAAATGTTCGTTTACTGTTTTACAAAATTAAAAGAAAAGGAATCAACTCGGAACTAACAAGAAACCAGCACTCACAGAACACATTAAAACCAAGAGGATACACGGAGTTGCTTTCACTGAAGTGTTCACTACACGAACGAGGGGCTCTCGCATTTCGCTTTCCTTTTTTCAGTTTGATGAGATCTTTTTTTATTAGTTTTATTTTGTCCGAATCATAATAAAAAAGACACCCTATTCGCCGTCGTAAACGATGTAGTGAGAGAATGCAGTGGATATTCTATTTTCCTCGTTCAGCTTTTTGTACGAGATAGAGAACAGCACACCACCATCCGACCACTTCGACACCTCAGCTCTAAAAGTGTTTGTGGGCACGGCTACACGTGCCACATGCGGTTTAAAGCTTTGGTAAAATGTCCTACTGCAAATATCACTTCACCAAATAAACACAACTTGCGAAGCAGGCTTTGCCGCGCGCTGACGAGCCGAGGGATCCAAGATCTGCGCGGTCTGTCTCAGTCTGTCCTACCCGTGACGTCACAAACGATGATTATGATAGCTAGAGAAGCGCCCTCTGTAGTTCGCGTACGCTGCCAATTCCCAAATGTCCATCGTCTCTCCGAGATCCTAGTGACTTTGAGCGTAACAACGGCGGGAGCAGAGGGCTTGTTCTCTTCACTACGACGGTTGAAAACATACCTGAGAGTGTCCACTTCGAATGAGCGACTGCTCGTCTAGCGCTTTTGAATGTTCACCGCGGCATTGAAGTTTAAGCGGAGGACGTCCTGGATATTCTTTATCGTGAACGCAGGCGGCTGCATCTTAATGTGTAGGCGCTTGGCATATATGAGATGATCAAGAGAGCCTGTACATCACAGTTACTTTTTTATTCGTGGTATTTTCTAGTAGAAAGCACGTAATTCTGATGGGTACTCAAGGTGTGCGTGAGCGCAGCGCCACCCGTTGCTTCCAGTGCAGTTGTTTTCACAAATCATTTAACACATCACTGACATTGTTTTATATTATAACTATATGTTCGTTTTATTATGTTCGCTTTGGTTTAATTGAACTGTGCACTTTAGTGAGGACCGTTTGTTATACTTTGCCTTGAAATTGACATCCTTCACCCCACAAATGTTTCGAAATATCCGTTCTCTATATATCTGCGATCAAGTTCCTCATCTCATCTAATAAACATGAATGAAGAAAGATTGCCTATTTTATTTATGTGAGCATTCTCTACCCCACAAACACTTTTCCCGAAAGCATATTAGTATAGTCCGCACTCCCCCTTTGCTCCATGCCCCGTGCAAAACCGAGTGTGTAAGCAGGGGAGCAAGCGGGCCCGCGGGGGGGGGGGGGGGGGGGGGTTCGACCCCCCAAACCCCCCCCCCCCCCCCCCCGTTGCCTACGCCACTGCCCATGACCCTCAGAGCTGCACACTGTCACCGTTGTTACTCGTGACCTGTATAAGACCTAGTTTTCTGTAAGGTAGCGAATTGGGCGAGTTGGCAAACGTTATACATGATGAAAACTGCTCAAACGACGAAGACAGAATGAAGACAACAAACACGGCAGGGCGAAGCTGTTCTCGCAACTAATGTTTGGTTAATTAAAATAACAGAAAGAAAACAGCTTAGCCGACTTTGATTACATCAACAAACACCTACTTATCTATCAGGCACCACACGATCTTCGGAGCTGAAACGGTTCACACACCGCTATTCATATTAGCTCTCAAAAAACAAACCTCTTTCTCTGACAGAGCTACCGGCGGCGCACTGTCAAGCTGTAAGTCGTTGTCGTTTTTACGGGTGCCCAATGTTCTGGTTTGGGGCCTCCTGAGGAACCCCCAAACCGTTTGAGTCAGAATTCGCTAAAGGCAGCCAACATGAAAACAACAACCGAAAAACGACGACGACGATCGGATCAGGAAGCACCGATTTCTCGCTCCTCCTGTAAGCTTGAATTATTTCACGCTATTCCGATCGTTTTGGCTACCGCGAACAATAACTTAGTCACTGGACCCTGCAGAGGTACCCTGTCGGCTAAAAAGCGACAACTAGCGACGGGGTCGCCGCGCCTCAATGACGCGGTTCCTGAAACCTTGACCCCGGGCACCAACATGGATGCCGTGGCTACCACAAGCCAAGTTCCAGGCATGGAACCACATTTACTATTACAAGGCCAGCCAACGGCGAATGAAGATTCCAATAACGATATCCCAATGAAGAAACAATGCTTGCAACTCCCTCAAGAAAATATGGATGCAAGAACGTCAACCTACTCGATTAATGAGGAAAACAATGACATTCACGACGGGACTGATTTCACCCAAGTCACCGTGCGAAAAAACCGCCCAGCTGGTATCCCCTTGATCATCAAGCCAAAGCAACACGGGGCTTCTTTCTGGAAAATCAATCCAAACAAGATTGCAAAAGAAATTGTAGCAGTATCGCAAGAGAAGGTACTCGCCCCACGCATAAGAAAGGATGGCACTATCACCGTCAATGCGGCATCACTAAACGCGACAAATAGACTACTTGCGATGAAATCCCTAGTCGGAATAGACGTGTCGGTGACCGTCTCCGAGTCGTACACCCGTAATGTTGGCAAGATCAACAATATCCCAGTCCAATATTCAGACTTTGAACTTCTCGACTACTTAAAAGATGCTGGTGTCATCGCGGTCCAGCGGCAAATTTCGTACTCAAGGAAAGAAGACGGCTCCATGGAGCAAGAGCCAACGGAAAGTGTCCTGCTTCAGTTCCCGCAGGATCAGCCGATGCCCTCCCGGGTTTTCCTGGGATTCACAAGTCACCCGGTGATGGAATACTTCGGCATCCCGACACAGTGTTTCCGCTGCCAACGGCATGGACACATTGCAAGACATTGTCGTGGCCAACAAAGGTGCAAGGTGTGTGCAGGGCCGCACAGCTACAAGGAGTGCATGAACAAAACCAACCCAAAATGTGCCAATTGCGGAGAAAAACACTGTGCTTCGTATTCAGGCTGTCCTCATAAAAAAGCAGCCGCTTCAGCCAGAAAACACGAGATCCTGAACGGACCGATAAGAAACAACCGCTCCCCGTCCCCAAACCTAGAAATTATACGCCCACCTCCTGTCCCTTTGCCTCCTCCCCACCCACCTCCACTCCCTCCTCGACCTCCTCGATCAACACAGCAAGTCCAGATGTCTCAACAACCTCCCAGGCCATTGTACTCGGACGCACTAAAGCGTCGCCAGCAACAAGGCCAGATATCACACCAACGCACGTCTACTTCTGGTCAGGCTGCTGGAGGAGACAGACAAGCAGCGATCACACCAGTGCCAGCTCCCCGCACTCTAAGAAAAGGCATTCATCGACATGAACATCATCCGCAATACTTGGAGACCCGAAGATCGAGTGATGTTGAACATTTACTGGTACCCATGTTTTTTACAGCTCTCCGGGCTATACTTGATGCTGTACCATCAGCCAACAACCTACCGGAAGTAACAGCGCTATTTACTCTAGAAAGGTTAGTTATGTCGTCACGTGCAACTATGAATGAGGAGTATTCCAATGCCTGACATATACAGTCACACAGGAATATTTCAGTGGAACACGAATGGATTACGGAAAAAGTCAGGCGATTTTCGTCAGTTTGTTGCACAATATAATATACCAATACTTGCATTATCAGAAGCTCGAGTAGATGATGTTTTTCGTCTTTCAAATTATGTACTATACAAGTCATCTCGCCAACACGGCCAAAGCCGAGCGTTATTGGCGGTACGGAGAGATATAATATCTGTGCCCGTGTTTTCGTCAACTACAGAAGTTCCAGAATTTGTTGCTTGCAAGGTACGATGTGGTGAGACAATGTTGCATATAGTGAGTGTCTACATTGAACCTCGGACTCCGCTAACCCATTCGGAATTCTCTGCAATTTTCAGCCATATTTCTACTCCTTACATAATATGTGGAGATTTTAATGGCCACCACACTATGTGGGGGAGTGATCACTGCGATCAACGTGGAAATCTGATCGGGAAATATATGGACGAGAACAACATCTGTGTCCTCAACGACGGGTCCCCAACGTTCGTCCGGGGCCATACCTATTGCAGCTATTTGGATCTGACACTATGTTCTCCCGACATTTCACCTCAAGCGACATGGACGACTGATAGAGAAACCCGAGGCAGTGACCACTTCCCAATTCTCATTCAACACCCAATTTTCGATGTTCGTGGACAGCATTATCGAGTTCGGATTACGAATTGGAAAATGTTCAGGCACTTCAACACTCAGAACCTTCCCAATGTAAAGGAACCCGAGGAATTTGCAATCTCCGTTTTAAACAATTGTGAACGAGCAACGCGTCTTGTGACCGTACCCAGTGGACACGTCGGCGTCAATGGCGAATACGAAAAATTAAGGGCAATAAGGCGCAGAGCAGAACGTCGTTATCGAAGATCTGGTCGTGTTGAGGACTACAATGAGGCCCAACACATTCACAAACTAATACGACGAGAGCTACAAATTCTCTCCATTCGCCGATGGAAGCAGTTCAGCTGTACTCTAACTCCATTCACTCCGATACCGAAGGTATGGAAGATACTTCGTTCTCTCCGTACACCAGTAATACAAAAACAACCTTTCCGGGCTCTAGCTCTACTTCGAGGTACATCGGAGGTAGTAATTGCGAATGAATATTGTACTTTGCTAACGCAACAAAGTGATATGGTGTCCTCTATAGAATACCGTTCTTCTCACGAGAAAGCGACTCGTGCATTCAAGAAAGAGCTGCACTCAGTGCAAACAGACCTAGACTATGAATTCAACACCCGTGAAATGGAGTGCGCGCTACAAAGTATTCGAAAATCAACAGCTCCTGGTCTTGATAAAGTCACTTATGACGCTCTTTCAAATCTTGGCCCTGCCGCTACTACCGCACTTCTTGAAATATATAATGAAATTTGGAGAACAGAAAAGATACCTGAATCATGGAAGCTGGCTAAGGTAGTTCCACTACTAAAGCCTGGAAAATCGCCGTTAAATTTAGATTCATTCCGTCCTGTCAGCTTAACAAGTTGCGTCGGTAAACTACTTGAGAAGATGATACATAATCGCTTACAGTGGTGGCTCGAAACAAGTGAAGCGTTCCCCGAAGAGATAACAGGATTTCGCCCTCGAAGGTGCACAATGGATGGCATTTTAGATCTCACCACATCCGTTGAACACGAAAGAAACAATGGAAACTTTACAGTTGCACTCTTCCTAGATATTCGTCGAGCATTCGACACTGTTAGCCATGCTCACGTTCTTGAAGGACTCGTACAGCTTGGTGTACGTGGACGGATGCTTAGGTGGATAAAGGAATTTCTTTACTGTAGAAACATAATAGTAAAAACCAACGATGGAGACAGCATGAGACATGAAATACACCATGGAGTACCCCAAGGCAGCGTGCTGAGCCCTACTCTTTTCAATGCAGTAATGGCACAGCTACCGCAGAAACTTGAATCACCTTTAAAAATATCCATCTATGCGGATGACATATGTATATGGATCTCTGGTTCATCTCGCGATATCCTAAAGAATAAGTTACAAGCAGGCTTAGACACCACTTTTAGATTTCTAAAAGAACGAGGAATGGAACTCTCTGCCGCGAAATCAGCATTTCTGCCATTTACAAGAAAGAAACTCCCTGGGCTTAGGCTAGAACTCAACGGAGCATCAATTCAAAGGGTTAAATCCTATAGATTTCTTGGTGTAATATTAGATCAATCTCTCACTTGGTCCAAACATTTAGACATGTTAGAGAGTAGAATTAATTGTGTGATTAATGTATTCCGCTGCATTGCGGGGGCAAGATGGGGAGCATCAATAGATGCGATGCTCTCATTCCACACGGCGCTAATACGACAAGCGATTGCATACTCTACTCCGGTGTTAAACGGACTTTCCCGGACATCAGAGTCTCGCCTTACCTACATGCTAGCAAGAAGCTTAAGAGTATGCCTAGGTTTACCGCGATCAACATCCAGCGCGCTTGTACTCGTAACGGCAAGAGAGCCGACTATACATATTCTAAGAACACAGGAGATATGTCGTAATTTCTTTCGACTCTCCACGCGGCCTCTGTTCAATGATATTTTTACTCGCAAAGGGACCAACTTTCTTTCCACACTGAATTCTCTTCCATTATGGATTCCCGAACAACCTAACTGGATTCAAGAGATCTGTAAACCACCCTGGACGCTACCATTACTGGAGATCAACATGGACATTCCAGGCATGCAAACAAAAACATCAGTTAACACACAGATTGCAAGAACATTGACTCTTTCACATCTGGAAGAAAAATATAAAGATGACATCCACGTGTATACTGATGGATCAACCACTGAAGACGGATCGACATCAGCCTTTGTTGTGCCTGATTTTAACCATTGGTCATCCTTTCGACTATCGCATCCTACTTCCTCAACCACTGCGGAATTACATGCTTTACTCGCGGCTGCAACGTACATAAAAAGCAACTCGGTAGCGAATTCTTGGGTCATATGTACTGATTCAAAGGCAGCTTTGCAATCTATTAAGACTATGAATAGCCGTAGTGAACACAACTCCCTTGTACACAGAATTTACTTAGAACTCTCTGATGCCATCGAATTTGGCAACACTGTACATCTACAGTGGGTCCCCGGGCATACCGGAGTTTCAGGAAATCACCAAGCTGACCAATTGGCTACCGCAGCCCATACAAGTAACAACGTCCACCTCACACCTTTCACAAAGAGCGACGCCAAAAGATACATCCGTCGACTACGTGAGCGAATGTCTCACGATGAATGGCTTAGCAGCATCCCACAAGACAGCCTGATCCGTCTAATCGATCCGGACCTCCGTTGCCCAGTGTACACCTATTCAGCCAGGTCAATCGACACCCTTATCCATCGCCTACGACTTGAGGTAGCATACACGGGAAGCTTCCTTCACCGGATAAAACAAGTAGAAACACCGAGTTGCAAGTGCGACAACCCGGTCGAAGACGTCGAACATTTAATCATGGACTGTCCGAGATATGATCAGTGGCGCGCCCGCTTACGGATTAGTCTCGGGATACTCGACAATCGTCCATTTTCTCTCGCCAAAGTTCTAGGCCCTTGGCCCGACTTAAAGAAAAAAAAGCGTGCATTAGCCTCACTAACTGCATTTCTGAAGGACTCAAAGATAGAAGCCAAATATTAAGTTCAATGATTACGAGTTACTGGTATAGCAGGATTTAACTGCACATATTTTGTACCACTGTATAATACTGTACATATCGTACTTCTCAAAGTGCACTTGCTTGTGATATTAACGCAGCACGTTCATAGTTTACTTTGTTATTCATTATGCCCAGATTTCATAATTATTGAACATATCATATCATACTTTACCCCATTACTAGCATTGAAGTAGCCGGCCCCAAATTATGGGGCTAAAATCTTCATCTCATTAAATAAACATTGAAAACAACAACCCTCGGAGTGTCCCCGCCTTTCACGGTTGCAGCTGGAGGCGCGGCGCCTGCGTGCATTACCGGATTAGGTTAGTACCCGACCGAGGCTTGTTAAGCATCTCTTTCTGCGTTCGTGCGTGCCGGTGTTATGTTTTGGCTGCTGGTCGCCACCTTGGCCCAAGGACACCTGTGATGCAGTTTCTACGGCTGCCGAGTAGAAGTGCGTGGGAACGGAATCTGAGGGGGCCCCTTTTTCTAGTTTCTAGTTTCGGCAGCCGCAGTTTCGACAGCCGCAGTTTCGGCAGCCGCAGTTTCGGCAGCCGCAGTTTCGGCAGCCGCAGTTTCTACGGCTGCCGAGTAGAAGTGCGTGGGAACAGAGAGGGGCACCATATATAGTCGGGTTTTAAAGGTTTTAATCTATTACGAGCCTAAAGGTGGCTTATTTAACTATCGTAATTTCCGGGCTATAGTCAGCGGAGTATACATGTTTAAAAAGTTGAAATTTTAGGCTCTGCGGGCCATCTACGCGTGCGGACTGAACAGAATTTTTTGTTTTTTCACTATCGTTGATTATGACGAGACAGATTTTGTAAATAAAAATGTATGTTGATGATGATTTATGTATAATATGGGCTTCTTTGTGAGCTAAAAAAGCAGACATTTGTCAGGGGGTGCCGTCTATGAGAAGATTTTTGCGTCGACAAAGCACCAGGTGTGGACTATCTAAGCAAAATCTTTTATTTTTGACCACAAATTTGCCCCAGCGAACCATACACCGGGTGAGGACTATAGTTCGGAAAATACGATAGTTGTTTCGAGGATACAACAAAAAAGTCAAGCAATATTTATGCCTAGCATTTTTTTAAGCAAAATCAAAATTGCTACAATGCTTGAAGAAAACTAAAATAAATTTATTTTGCTAGAAAATGAACATCATTATTTATTTAGGCTTTCTTTGGAATAGGTGACTTCTTCGAACATTTTAACAACTATCTCACCCTCAGATGAATCCTATCATAATTGATCACGAAGATGCATTGAAAGCAATAGAAAACCTAAAGGTCTCCTCGAACTCTGGAGACAACCAAATTAATTTGAAGGTATTAATAAACACTAAACGCATTTCCGCTGTTTTCCTCTGTGACATATTCTCACAATCGCTCACGCTTTCCATAGTTCCACGTGACTAGAAAATAGCTAACGTAATACCTGTTCACGAAACTGGTGATCGCCAACTAAAAAGTAATTACCGACCCATCTCTCACCGGTCTTCCATCTAAGCTCATGGAGCATATACTTTACTCAAATACAATAACTTTCTTGACTCTCATAACCCTCTTGTTGAACATCAGTACGGATTTCGTAAATCTTACCCGTGTGAAACCCAGCTAACCGCCTTCCTTACTGATATTTATTCAAGCTTCGATTCAAAAATTCAGACCGACGCCATTTTCATTGACTTCTCCAAAGCATTCGGCAAAGTTCCACACCAACATCTTTTAACAAAACTTAACGATATTAATATTTCCCCCTTTGTCGTTAAGTGGATTTCTGATTTCCTAATTAACCGTAAGCAATATTCCACCGTTAACAACGTAAAATCTCCCACCTCTACCGTAACATCAGGTGTCCCCCAGGGAACCGTACTTGGACCCCTTCTGTTCCTAATCTATAATAATGATCTCCTCCTTAATATAGCTTCTTCTGTGCGCCTGTTCGCCGACGATTGTGTCATTTACCGACCCATTCTCTCATACCATGATCATCATGCTCTCCAGGAAGACCTTGAGTCTGTAATCCATTGTTGTGAGAAATGGCGGATGACGTTAAACTTCAATAAATGTAGATCCCTATAATTTTCCCGCAGTTCGCGTGCCACACAATTTTCGTATTACCTAACTGACACTCAAGTAATAGTATGCTCATCTTATATATACCTGGGTGTTCATCTCACCTCTGATTTATCATCGACTGCCCACATAACTTTTGTTATTTCTGATACTAACCGTTCCCTCGCATATTTACGCCGTAACCTCAAACTTGCTACACCCTCCGTAAAACGACTAGCGTATGCTACTCTTATAAGATCGAAGTTAGAATGCAACTCATCTATATTGTCTCCATGGCAGTCCTACCTCGCAAATAATCTAGAATCCGTCCAAAACAGAGCCCTTCGTTTTATTTATAACAACTACTCCCCATATACCAGAATCAGGATTACGCCAATCAGCTAACCTTCATTCACTTTCCCTTCGCCGCCGAGTATCACGCCTTTCTGTCCTCCATCGAAGTTTTTATCACAATAGCCACCTTAAAGAATCACTGCTATCACCTCCCCATCGTATTTTCCCGCCTCTAGATCACCTATGTAAATTACGTCCAATTCGATCATCAACTGTTTCTCACCAGACTTCCACACTACCATTGGCCGTCGAGGATTGGAATTCACTACCTCACAACATCGTTTCTATTAATGATACTACTAAATTTGTTGAAGCCATTACCCTCTCTTTATTTAACCTACCTAGCTAGCTTACAGTGTTATAATTGTGTTTACTGTTCGATTTGTTTTTGTTCTATTGCCACCCCCTTGTATAATGCCCCACGGGCCCTCAAGGAAAATAAATGATGATGATGATAAGCAATACACCACCAGGAGGTTTATTCTCAACACCAGGCACTGATATTTGTTTAAAATAAAAGTTCTCCGTTGCTGGTTTACTAAAACAACTTGAATTTCAGGCAACACATTTCTGAATAGCAAGTTTGCGATTTTGAAAAATAGAGCAATAATATATAAATCAGCGGAAATTTTTTTTTTCGAAACACTCTGCTATGTTTTCTACTATGCGAACAAATATTAGAAATATGAGTGGAGCAAACCGTTTGTAAGCGACGACCAAAAGCGCAATCCAATCGGAATTTTGACGCATTCCGACGTACCCCGTGGCACTTGAGCCTTTGTGTTACGAAGCTCTTACTACCTAATTTTCTTGAAAACGCAGCTTCGTGAACCGCAGAAATTAAACAACCACGTATGTTTGTTTGTTTTTAGCAGCTTTAGACACACGTTTGTTGGCATCGAAATAAAATCCCCACCTCGTTATTACGACTGAAATTGAGAAGATACCGCGGTGGGTCTCTTCGCACGCACTGATTGGTACAGTGAATTGGCGGGGACCATTTTGAGTTTTTCCCGCGTTCTCAGAGTGGCACGGAGGCGGCTTCCAGGTCGTTCTCGGCCGAAAGAGGTCCGAGCCCGGCCCGTGCGCCTCCAACGGGTTTTGTTTGCTCGCGCGCGCGAACCACCCGGACGGCGAGGCGGAAGCCAAGCGGAGCCCGAGCGTCCGGGACCGCTGGGGCGGACGCGAACGGCTGCTCGACCGGGACCCCGTGTACAGACTCGCTAATGGAGCTCTCGACACGGAGATCCGATTGTTTGCCCGGCTTAATGAGGATCGGAAGAGACCACGACGCCGCGCGCCCTTCGGCCATTGGGCTGAGAGCGGAGCGGAACCAACGGACCCAACCGAACCAAAACTGCGTCGGCCCCGCGTCGATTTCTTCGAGCCGGTTGCCGCGGGGAGCCAAGTCACGTGGTGCCTGGTAGACGCGCCATCGGTTACAGTCGGTGCGTTGGCTTTCGCTCCGCCGTCAGGTTCGGGGCGCACGGAGCGTCGGGGACCTCTCTGCCTTTGCGGTCGTCGCAGCGTAGCTCCAGCGCTGCCCTCTTGCCCGCACATTGTTCGAGTCGGGTTCGGTTGATCGGGCGCCGTGAAACACGAGGCCGTTTCTTTCGCGCGAACTGGTCCCGGCCTTTTGTCTGGCGCTGAATTCCGCGCCGGCAGGCGGGGATCGCGCCTGAGCAAGTGGCTTCCCCGAATGTTCGCGGCTAAGACGGGAGAGCCTGCTTCTCAGGCAGCTTCCGCCGGATCGCGTCTCGAAAGGCTCAAGCGGCTAAAGGGATACTGAACCTAAATTTCGAGCTCACAAAACCTGGGTGAACGGATAGGCGAGACGCTGCAAAAACCCCAAAAAACATCACTCATACGGCAAAATTTTGAACGCATCGCCGTATTCTTTAGAAAAGAAGTGCGCGATTGAAGACGGCCGACGAGACAAGACACGTCACGATTCCCATTCCCTTTCCTCCTCGCTTCGTCCCGTCGAGCTGGTGAACCGAAGCGAGGAGGAGAGAAGCGAGGCCGCTTTCTCTCATTCTTGAATTCTCCCGGAGGACAATGACGTCAGAGACCTCGCTTGATCGCGCCATTCTTTTCCAAAACTACTGCCATCCGTTTGAAATATCGATGTTTGAGTAATGTTTTGGAGTCCGTAGCCTCCCGTTCAACGCTTCTGCGGCCTTATTTTGCAAAATCCAGATTTCGGTTCAGTATCCCTTCAAAGGGGTCAAGAAACAATTTTTCAACATTTTCCTTCTTAGCTTTCCTCCTCAACTCACAAATCGCGCATTGTACCAAACAGTTCAAGAAAACGGAAAGGGGGACTCCACCCTTGCTCGGACCCTCGTTTGTGCACCCGGGACGCCGCCATTCTCCTCCTATAAGATTAGCCCTTCGCTCAAAATTCGGACACAAGTTGCTTTCCCCACTCCGTTCCCCCCGAAGCTGACAGTACTGTGGAAGCTACGTACTCTTTGGGCCAGCCATACTTTTGAAACGTGATCACGCTCCCTCGCGCATACCCACACGCAAAAAATGAAGTCATGTGATAAAAAGGAGGCGGCTGATTGGTCCGGCAAGCGCATAGCTTTCACCGCACTGTCAGCTTAGGGGTGAAGGGAATAAGTGAGGTCCGGTGTCGTGTGACGTGAGATCCGGTGTCGCGTGGCGTGCGTTTGGGCCGGGTGACGCGCTTTGGGTGCCGCGGAGGTATAACAGCGAAAAGGCAGAAGGCTTTCGAAGGGAAGGAGGTGCGAACTAGTCAGCTGTGTTTTCAAATTTTTGTA